CCAAATTGTATGCACTCCTGAGGTCAAGTTTAATTAAGAGGGAATGACGGGAATGGGATAGGCATTTTTAATGGAGATCTTGTTTAATGCCCTGTAGTCAATGCATGGACATAATTCTCCATCTTTTTTAGATACAAAAAAGAACCCTGCAACAGCAGGCGAGGATAAGTTACGTATGTTGCCCTTACTTAGGGAATCTTTGATGTACTCATCCATTATTCTACTCTCCTGTGGTGATAAGGCATACACTGCTCCCTTGGGTGGCATAGTGCCGGGTAGCAGACCTATGGAACAGTCATAAGATCTGTGATGAGGTAGAATATTTGTCTGACTCTTACTGAATACCTCCTTAACCTCCCAGTGTGGGAACTTCGGAGACCTGAGGCGTAGCAGGGGGTAATGTAATTGTGACGAGACCAATCTCGCCACATTGCATTGGAGAAGCCTGGTTGCTCGCCTGCTGCCTTTGGACTATGGCCCCCTTTTAAAAGACTTTATTTTTGCCTGCAGAAAAGCTGTATTCGTGCTTTTCTGCCTGGGGTTCAGTAGATTTGTTTGAATGTGTTATACCCCAGATAGGAATCCCATGGAGCCCATTTGTATGAAACTGACTGTAAAGACTTTGGCTCCATGGCGATTAAACTGTATTCGTGTGGTCTGAGCGCCATTCACTTAATAATGTGCGCTCAGACCTGAGCTATCTGGGGATATGTGAAATGTCTGTGTTTTATGTATAAATGTGACTTTATGTATTTTAAAGTGTTTTGTGTCTTTTTGCAACCATGTGCTTAATGGAGTCTTGTGTCTATCCTGGGAGATAATTGAATTACTTATCTCCAGGATAGAAGACTCTGAAACTGGTTTGGGCCAGAAAGCCATGCTTCATTTAGTCACAAAGGACTTTTTACTAACTTTTGAACCCCTTGTCTGATTTGTGCCATTTTTGAATATGTTGTTCCCCTGAATGGATTGATTGTGAATATGTAATTTTATGTGAATGTGATGTATGGTTTTGGAGTTATGAAAGTTGGGTAGAAAGTATGTTTTAACTGTATGTATAATTGAGTTTCCTCTCAGGATAAGGGGAGGGAATATGTGGGATGTAACTGTGATGTGATTGGTTGTTTTATACCTCCCTGTGGGCGGTCCTGTATTTGCAAGACTGTAATAAAAACCAGGCTGGGTGTGCCAGCACCTCAGACCACTGCTTGACCCTCAACACGGAGCCTTGTCTCGTTCTTGGGGGGATTCACTGTATGCTGTTAGAGACTGATTGCCAGGAGTGTAAGCCGATTGTCTGCTTTTCCTGTTCGTCTGCTAGCAGCTATTTGGGAGGTTCCAGTTCGGGAGTTGGAGTGCTATTTTGTATCCAGTTCGGGGGTTTGGTGTTCTGCAGTAGCTGTGCCTGTATCTCTGGAAAGGGGGCCGATCGCCTAAACGGTTTTTACCCCTTGTGTGCAAAACGGTCCGTTACAGTAATGATGCCCACTCTTTTGGTAATGTGTAACATACATCTCTCAGTACAGTCTTTGCCCCATTCCAATATTTGCCCCTTTGCCCAATCAATATGCGGATTGTGCTTAATAAGCCAAGGAAATCCAAATAAGAAGGAGAAGCAATTATTTGGAATGTTATGTCTTCCTTGTGTAAGGCACCAATGGAAATGTTAATAGGCAAGGTTTCGTGGGTAATCAAGGGTTGAGAGAGAGGTCTCCCATCAATAGCCTCAATGGCCAGAGGTGATGAATGCTTTTTGACAAAATGTACATCAATGAAGTTTCCCACAAGATGAGGATGAACATGTGACAACCAGTATGCTTGGACTTTGACCACAGTGAATCTCTAACTTGGTACATTTGAATGAGGTCAGCTGTAACCCAGGACAGGTGTGTCCCTTGAAGTCACACTTTACGCAGAGGAGCATGCAAATTGCAAACAAGCAAAAGCTTGGACTGAAAAAATGCAATCGCTGAGTCTAGATCTGGTATTAGAGCTAATCTGTGCCATGAGATCATTTAAAAAGGATTCAAGATTAATGATTTTTAAAGACCTGGTGAATATAATCTTGGGAGGGAATTTAGTGGCCTTTATTTTGCGTATGCAGTAAACTAGGCAGTGGTCACTGAAACTGTTAGGGAAAAAGCCCGCCTCCTGGATTCTGTCAGGACAACTGGATATAGGACAAGGCTGGTAGTGGAAGTAAGCTAAATGCAGCTGAGTAAATAGAGGAGGAAATTGCAACTATGAAGGAGTGCATATGTGCATTTGCATGCATGCATGTGTGTGTATGTGTGTTTGTGTCTATGTGTATGTGTTTATATGTGTATGAATAAATATGTATTAGCAACAACATTAAAACCACCTGTGTATATTATGTAGGTCCCCCTGTGCTGCTAAAACATCTCTGATGCATCAAGGCATGGACTCCACAACACCTCTGAATATGTCCTGTGGTAAATGGTGCCAAGACATTAGTATCAGATCCATTTTCCCCTGCAAGTTGTGAGGTGGGACATCCATGGATCAGATTTGTTGTTCCAGCACATCCAACAGATGCTGAATTGGATTGAGATCTGGGGAATTTGGAGACCAAGGCAACACTCTGAACTTCTTAAACCATACTTCTTAAACCATTTCTTCTGTGTGGCTGCATGCATTATCTTGCTGAAAGATGCTTCTGCCGTCAGGGAACACTACTGCCTTGAAGAAGGCCCTGTCTTTAACAATCTCTAGATAGGAGGTATATGTCAAAGTAACATCCACGTGAATGCCAGGACCCAAGGTTTCCCAGCAGAAAATTGTCCAGAACATAACACTCCATTGGCTTACCATCTTCGCATATTGAATGCTGCTGCCATCTCTTCCCCAGGTGAATGATGCACATGGACCCAGGCCATCCACCTGATGCAAAACATGATTCATCAGATCAGGCAACTTCCTTGCATTGCTCCATTGTCTAGTTCTGATGTTCACATCTCCATTGAAGGCGCTTTCGGTGGCAAACAGGCGCACCCTGATGGGCGTGTGGCTACACAGCCCCAAATGCAGAAAATTTCAATGTGTTGTTCAATACCGGGAGCAATGATATCGGGTGATAGTTAGATACCAAAGTATTGTCACCACTTTTATGGATAGGTACAACTTTTGCAGTCTTCCAAAGTTTGGGTATGTATCCTGACACCAGGATTCATTGATAAGGGTAGTGACAAGTTTAGCAATTGCTGGCACACTGAGCTTCAGCAACATTGCTGGGATTTGATCTGACACCTTTGATAGACACCTTTCTATCAAGGCCAGGATTACTTTTGTCTATCAATTTGAGCTCTTCTGTGTGATCGGACCACAACCTTTGGTAGTTACCAACCACTGCATACCGGGAAGAACCCACAAGACTTGCTGTTTTAGGAATGCTCTGACCCAGTCATCTTCACTATTTGGCAGGACCAAGCGATGGCATGGAGGGGTCTAGTTCTTCATTTTCCTGGATGTACTTTGGGCTCCCTGGTGCTTTTGTGGGATTCACTGGTCGTTCAGTAAGCTGTTAGTGCATGTCTGCACCTGGTTGGGTGTAGACCCCTTTCAATACTCCATTTTCATCTCTGTGAGCATTGACAGCAGTCTTTACCTAGCTGGAGGTGCAGATATGCTCAGTGAATGGTGCAGGGAAGGGCAGGAAAATCTATTGATTGCTAATCCATGCAGCTGAAGGCAGGCTCTGCTGTCAGGGCAGCAATAACAAATGCAATTCACTCCCACTTGATTGAGTTACATCCTCCTGGGGCTCTCTGCTGTGCAAGGCTAAATAGGTCCCTGGAATGAAGCACTGGTAGCAGGGAGGGGTCAGGAAAGCTGGCTTAGACTCCCATTATAAATATGGTGCAAAAAGGCTACACAAACCTAAATATACATACATTATAAAGGTGCTGCTGGAACCAATTTATGTATAGTGCAAGAGCCAGCAAGTTATCTAAATTTTCATCTATCTTTAAAATGCACAAATTTATATATATGATGCATGTGAGCAGGGCCGGACTGGGAAAAAAATTCGGCCCGGTTATTTTTCAATCACAGCGGCCCCCTAAGAAAGGGGGCGGGGCCAGAGAGGGTGTGTTTTGTCATCATTAATGACAAGCACGCCCCCTCTCAAAGTGAGCATGTTGGTTCAATGCGCAGAGCCCCGCTGAAGAGCTCTAGCATTACAAAAAGGCCCTGTATATGTTCTGTGCAGCGCAAGCAAATTTAATAACATGCTTGCGCTGTATTTGCTTTTAAATTGTCTCTGGTGTCTCCACAAGTGGGATACCAGAGGACAAAAGGGCCAGGAAAGTGTATGGTGCATGTGTTTGGAGCCTGCTTGTGGGATTGCGTGTGTGTAGAGTGTGGTGTGGTATTGTGTAAATAGGTCAATTCCATTTGTGTTTGTGGTGTAGTATGTGTGGCTAGGGGCTGTAGAGAGTGTGTGTATAGGGGGCATAGTGTTATAGGGGATGTAGTGAGTGTGTGCATTGGTGACGTAGTGTGTGTAGGGGTTGTAGAGAGGGTGTGTTTAGAGAATGTTGTATGTGTTTGCTGACAAGGAATGTAGTGTGTATGTAGGTGGTGCAGTGTGTATGAGATCCATAGGCGTGCGCACGGGGTGTGCCGGGTGTGCCTGGGCACACCCTAATCCCCGTGCGCACCCCTATGGTTTGAGTCCTGCAGGAACAGCGTTCCTGCAGGCACTCAGTGTCCCCCGTCTCACCTCTTGCCACTGTCATGGGAGGGCAAGAGGTGATGATTCCCCCCCCCCCACCCTGCAGCTCAGCGTCATATTCCGGCTCCCAGCTCGAGCAGACAGCCCGCGCGGCGAGAGGAAGCAGAGAGCAGAGAGCCGAGAGCAGAGAGCTCCCTCGCCGCGCGCTGAGCTGCAGAGAGGCGCCCGCCCCCACTGGACCCCAGGGACAAGTCCACCAGCACTCCAGGTAGGAGGCTGGGTGGACATTTAAAAAAAAAATTAAAATATAATAATTTGTGTGTGTCTGTGAGTGTGTGAGTATGTGTCAGTGTGTGTGTGTGTCAGTGTGTGTGTGTGTGTGTGTCTGTGAGTGTGTGAGTGTGTGAGTATGTGTGTGTATGTGAGTGTGAGTGTGTGTGTCTGTGAGTGTGAGTGTGTGTGAGTATGTGTGTGTCAGTGTGTGTGAGTGGGTGTCTGTGAGTGTGTGTCTGTGTGTGTGTCTGTGAGTGTGTGAGTATGTGTCTGTGAGTGTGTGTCAGTGTGTGTCTGTGAGTGTGTGTCAGTGTGTGTCTGTAAGTGTGTGAGTATGTGTCTGTGAGTATGTGTGTCAGTGAGTGTGTGAGTATGTGTCAGTGTGTGAGTGTGTGTGTGTGTCAGTGAGTGTGTGAGTGTGTGAGTATGTGTCTGTGAGTGTGTGTGTCAGTGAGTGTGTGAGTATGTGTCAGTGTGTGTGTCTGTGAGTGTGTGAGTATGTGTGTGTGAGTCTGTGAGTGTGTGTCAGTGTGTGTCTGTGAGTGTGTGAGTATGTGAGTGTGTGTGTGTGTGTCTGTGAGTGTGTGAGTATGTGTGTGTCAGTGTGTGTGAGTGTGTGTGTGTTTCTGTGAGTGTGAGTGTGTGTCTGTGAATATATATATATTATATATATACACACACACACACACACACACGCGCGGCGTGTGTTTGTGCTTTAGGGTGCACACCCTAATGCAATAGGCTGCGCACGCCTATGATGAGATCTAGTGTGTAAAGGACCCAGAGTGTGTATAGGAGATTGTGTGTGTGTGTGTGTGTAGAGGATTAAGAGTGCATATAGGGTAAGGGATCTAGCGTGTATCTGGAGTGTAATGTGTGTAGTGGTGCAGTGTGAGAGGTGCTGTAGTATGTGTATGTGTGTATATATATATATA